GAAATAGACATAAAAGCCGAGATAAAAGCAAAGACATATATAATAAATTTGCAAATGTTGAGTGCCATTATTGCTATTAGAAGGGACAAATTCAGAGGTTTTGTCGTCAGTTGAAAAAGGAGAAACAGAAAGAGAAAAGTAAAGAGAAGAAAAGTGATAATGACAGCGATGACAATCGTGTTACTGCACTTGCAGAAGACTTTCGCATTGTCTTTGATGGTGATGTAGTGAATTTTGTATGTCATGAGACCAGTTGGGTAATTGATAGTGGTGCATCTATTCATGCTACATCTCGTAGGGATTTCTTTACATCTTACAGGTCATGCGACTTTGGATCTGTGAAGATAGGAAACAATGGACTTGATGAAGTTGTAGGCATTGGTGATGTGTGCCTAGGGACCAGCAATGGCACAAGGTTAGTATTGAATAATGTTAAGTATATGCTTGATATTATTTTGAATTTGATTTCCACAGGTAAGTTGGATGATGAGAGGCATTGTAACACCTTCAGTGATGGTCGATGGAAGCTCATTAAAGGTTCTATGGTTGTGGCTAGAGGTAAGAAATGTTCTTTGTTGTATATTATGCAGGCAAATTTGTCCATAGAAAAAATTAATGCAGTAGACAACAAAGAAATAGTTGAGTTGTGGCACAAGAGGCTCAGTCACATTAGTGAGAAGGGTTTGTCAATGTTGGCCAAGAAGAAGCTCGTTTCAGGAATGAAAAGTTCAACACTGAAGAAGTGTGCTCACTGTTTAACAGGAAAATAGAAAAGAGTTGCATTCAAAAGCTCCCCTCCTTCGAGAAAGTCAGGTATTATTGATTTAATGCATTCTGATGTTAGCGGTCCTATGAGAGACAAAATCACTTGGCGACTCTCTTTATTTTATTACTTTCATAAACGACTATTCAAGGAAAATTTGGGTTCATACCTTGAAAACTAAAGATCAATTGTTAGATGCTTTTAAGCAGTTTTAGGCTTCAGTTGAGAGACAGACTAGAAAGAAGTTGAAATGCATAAGAACTGATAACTGGGGAGAGTATAATGGACCTTTTGATGAATATTGCAAGTAACAGGGTATCCGACATCAAAAGACACCTCCCAAGATACCTCAGTTAAATGGCTTAACTGAGAGAATGAATAGGACACTAGTTGAAAGGGTAAGATGTTTACTTTCACAAGCAAAGCTACCGAAATCCTTTTGGGGAGAGGCTTTGAGTACAGTTGCACATGTATTAAATTTTCCTCCATGTGTTCCTTTTGAGTTTGATGTTCCTGATAGAGTTTAGATATGCAAAGATGTTTCTTATGATTATTTGTGTGTCTTTGGGTGCAAGGCATTTGTGCATATTCCCAAAGATGAGAGGTCTAAACTTGATGTGAAAACACGACAATGCATATTTATTGGTTATAGACAAGATTTGTTGGCTACAAGTTGTATGATCCAATTGAGAAGAAAGTTGTAAGAAGCAGAGATGTTGTGTTTATGGAAGATCAAACAATACAGGATATTGAAAAATCAGAGATGATTTTAGTGCCACTAGTTAGTGATGACTTAAGTGACTTGGATCCAGTTCCTCACACACATATTCCTGCACAGGCTGATAAAGAGCAGTAAGAAGTGAATGTTCCAGAAAATGCTCATAATCCTAAACATGTTGAGACAGATGATAACATTCCTGAACCAGAGATTCCATTAAATGCTCCATTAGATATTCCAGTTCGGAGATCCGTTAGAGACCGACGACCTTCCGCAAAATATTCTGCAGATGAGTATGTATTATTGACTGATGCAGGTGAACCAAAGTGCTATGCAGAAGTAATAGAAGATGAGTGCAAAAGTAAATGGCTTGATGCAATGCAGAATGAAATGCAGTCACTTTATGATAATCATACTTTCGAGGTGGTGAAGTTGCCTAAAGGCAAAAGAGCTTAGAAGAACAAGTAGGTATACAAGTTGAAACAAGATGAACAAACTTTAGAACCACGATACAAAGCTAGATTGATTGTTAAGGGATTCGGTCAGAGAAAGGGTATTGACTTTGATGATATATTTTCTCTTGTGGTAAAAATGTCTTCTATCCGTGTGGTTCTAGGATTGGCAGCTAGCCTAGACTTGGAAATTGAGTAGATGGATGTCAAAATAGTCTTTCTACATGGTGACATGGAGGAAGAGATATACATGGAACAACTAGAGGGTTTCAAAGTGAAAGGAAAAGAGGACTATGTGTACAAACTGAAGAAGAGTCTCTATGGCCTAAAGCAAGTACCGAGACAGTGGCACAAAAAGTTGACCTCAGTTATGACAGAGTAGGGCTATAAGAAGACTTCCTCAGATAATTGTGTGTTTGTCCAAAAATTTTCTGATGATAACTTTATTATTCTCTTACTTTATGTTGATGATATCTTCACAAATTGAATTGTTGAAGAAGTAGTTAAGAAAGTCTTTTGCCATGAAAGACTTGGGCTCAATGAAGCAGATTCTTAGCATTACAGGATAGAAATGCTAAGAAGTTGTTCTTGTAGCAAGAGAAGTACATTGAGAAGATTCTTGAGAAATTTCACATGGACAAGGCTAAAGTGGTTAACACTCCTCTTGTTGCCTACTTTAAGTTGAATACGAAGCAAAGTCCCATGACTGATAAAGAAAATAAAGAGATAGAAAGTGTTCCATATGCCTTGGCTGTGGGAAGCTTAATATATATGGTGTGTACACGGCCAGACTTGGCGCATGTAGTTGGCGTTGTTAGTCGTTATTTATCAAATTCAGGTAGAAAGCACTAAATGCGGTAAAGTGGATCATGAGGTATCTTCGGGGAACTTCTAGTTTGAAACTCAGTTTCGAGATCGGGAAACTTCAGTTATTGGATACATAGATTTCGACTTGGTTGGAGATATTGATACTCGTAAATCTACTTTTGGTTATTTGATTTCCTTTGCCAGTGGGGCTGTGTCATGAAAGTCAAGGTTACAGAAGTGTGTTGCACTTTTTACAACCGAAGTTGAATTTATTGCGGTGACTAAAGCTAGTAAAGAGCTGCTATGGTTGAAGAAGTTCTTGGAAGAACTTGGGTTCAAGCAAAAGAGGTATGCGTTATTTTGTGACAATCAAAGTGCAATTCATCTTGTTAAGAATTCATCTTTTCATTCTAGATTGAAACACATTGATGTTAGATATCATTGGATAAGGGATGTTCTAGATGAGAAGTTGTTGGAACTTGAGAAAATCCATATGGACCATAATGGTTCCGATATGATGACGAAGACTCTAGCAAGGGAGAAGCTTGAACATTGTCAATTTATAGGAGGGATGGTGAGTCCCTCCACATCGTCGTGAGGGGAAGATTTGTTGGCTAGGTTCACTCCCATGTGGAGGAAGCCATTGCAAGCCCAAGGCTTGAGCCCATATAATGTCCATATGGAGAAATAGGGTTTCTCACTATTATTATGTTGTAGTCGCAAAATAACGTTTTTGAGACACGTAGTAACAAGAGAGAGAGAGAGCAGAAAATTTGGGTTGGAGAAATATCTGATTTTCATCAAGTTGACGTCAGAGGTCGATTCGTGGTCCGATTGAGCTGAAATTTTGTCAGCGTGCTCATGTCACATTCTTCTCGAATTAGATTGGTTTGATTTTTGCTTGAAGCTCCCTACATCAGGTTTTTGTGGGTTGCATCAAAAGTGCGTTTTTGGTGAGATTTATCCTTTATCTCTTGTGAAGTTTATGTCTATTACCAAGAATGATGGTCTTAATGTCTTTGCTGCTATGCACCTCTAGTATTTACTAGAGAAGAACTTTGTTCACTTAATTTTGCTGATAGTGAAGATTTTTTGGTGGATTCCAGTCCAGTGGTTTTTGATCTCCTCACACCGAGGAGGTTTGCCACGTAATAATCGACTTGTGTCTGCGTGCTTGGTATCTATATCTCTCTATTATATTGTTTCCTATTAGGTTTGCACAAGACGGGAGATTATTTCGTTTCGTTGCGCTAATCCGATATTGTTCTGATTGTTATTGTTCTCCCAACAAGGAGAGGTAGGGATGGAGGGTGGAGATTCATTCAATATAATTTTGTTTAGAATATCACGGCTGGATATGATTATCAAGGTCGAATTCATGCCATTCTCGCGGAAAGTTGCTGGTGCTCGCCGAGCTTAAGGACCTTATTTGAAACTAAGTTGGATATTTTGAGGCCTTATTTCAGATAAGATACACTGTCGACCATCATTTGAAAAAACGTCCCATTTTAGGCCTTTATTTGAATCTTTCCCTCACTCAAGAGTCCAAGTCAAACAGGGGACCTCCTTCGACACAAACAATTACTCAACTCCAAGAATTACTATGACGTAGACATTAGTATTAAGGGTGAAATGTTTCGGGAAGAATTTCATGATAAAAAAAATGCTTAGAAATCATGTTTTAGGAAAATGTTTTCCCCTTTTCAAGTTAGGGAATTCATTTTCCTAACTTTAAGTATGCATATTTTCTTTGATTGTAAATAGTTTTCAAGTTACCTAATTATTTTTAGTGAACCACACGCGTGACAGTCCAGAACATATTCGTGAAAATATCTTTCACTAAAACAAACACACTATAAGATTTAGAAGCAAAGAAAAACAAAAAAAAGCTTCCCTTTTATTCCAAAAATTTTCTAAGTAAAGAAATTCCAAGGAGTCGTAGGTCACTTGTAAGTAAGAATAGAAATTCCGTACGTCAAAACCTTCCTAGAACACAAATGTTCAAATCTTACTTGAGACAAATTTACAGAATTGCACTTGCTAACGTGTAAGACTTTTTGTTTTGTTTTTGGACGGCTAACGTGTAAAACTTGACAAATGCTTTATAAGTCTATTCTGGAGTTGTCCGTCAGCGTATGAAATTGTCTCAAAGGTACATGTGAAAATTGTAGTCATATTATCCTCACTATCTTATCAAATGTAAAATACAAATCAAAAGACTAAATAAGTACACAAGAAAATTGTAGGAAGCACAATCATATTATCCTTGATTTTTTTTATCTGTCGAACTGCACAAATTCTGCCGAAGCTCCTCCATTCGCTCCTTCATTTGTTTGAGCTCTTCCAAGTTGAGCTCTTCAATGGGAGCTTCCCACCATCCCTCGCTGCTCCGTGCTTCTGTATTTTGCTTCAGCTCTTTACCCCGTTTCTTGTCAGCTTCAACTTGATCGACAAGCTCATCATATTGTTGATTGAGCTCACCAATCCTGAGTCGACGATAGGACTCGACCAAGGTTTCAACGCCATCATTTTGTGGGGGGTTTTGTCGGGGGTTTTGGTTGAGGAACCGGTTTGCAACCGAATCGATTGATGGATGAGCAAATGAATAGGGTTTTCCGGCAGGAGAGAATGTTACTACTCCCACCTCGGAACCACAGAGGGTTACAAGCTCACTTGCCTTTTTATAGATGCTAGATCTACGCTTGGAGAATGTTATGAGCTTATCCTCCACATTTTCAATTTGTCTCATCTCGCGACGTCCTCTTCTCTGTCTACTCGCCATGACTAAGGACAGTAATCTAAGAAGTTTGGAAGATAGTAAAGTTATGATAGTAATGTCAAATTTATTGTGAGCATAATGAAAAGAGTGCACCTATTTATAAGGGGATAGTGATGCCAAATCTAGTATGCAATGTTTTGGGATAATCTCTTCGAGTTGTCACCTTCCACAAAATATATTTTTCAAAAAAAGTAAATTCGTTCAATGGAAAGTTCTACTTTCCAATATGTGCATGTAAATAAATGTTTTTTCAATTTTAAGGCTCGACTTTGTATTTCTCACCATATTTGCCTTTGAAAAGTAATCTCTCTAAAACAGTACTTTACAATGAAAGAGCCAAATTAAACTTTGTATTTTGGGTAAGAAATCTAGAAAATAAGCTCCACCGGAAGCACAAATTGGGCAAATATCTTTGTTGGGAAATAATAAATTAGAAGATGAGAATTCTTTTATAGTGAAAGAGCCAAATTAAAATTTGTATGTTGAGTAAGAAATCTAAAAAAAAAAGCTATACTAGAAGCACAAATATGGCAAATATCTTAGTTGGGCAATAAAAATGAGAAGATGAGAACAATCGTAATGACTATTTCTTGTATTCATTGTTGGGGAATTTTTTTATGGCCAAATACGTAACTTAGGTTACTCTATAATAGGTCACTTGAAATTTGTTGTTATGTGTGCTTCAGCGAGATAATACATCGAAATCGGCAAAAGAACACTACAAGTGCCATAACTTGTGTACGGCGCTCACTTTAGTGCCATAACTTTTTTTTGGATCACTTTAGTGCTAAAATTTTTGAAAAACGATCACTTAAGTGCTAAATTTTTTGAAAATTGATCACTTAAGTGCCAACTCCGGTGCCGTACGCAATTTTTCGCCGGAAATCTGACGTGGCATTTTTTTTATTAATTTCTGAAGCTGACGTGGCTCGCCGGAGTCTCACCGGAGATTGGCACTTAAGTGATCGTTTTTCAAAAATTTTAACACTTAAATGATCGTTTTTCAAAAATTTTAGCACTTAAGTGATCGTTTTTCAAAAATTTTAGCACTGAAGTGATCCAAAAAAAGTTATGACACTTAAGTGATCATTTTTCTTCCGACTTGGCACCAAAGTGATCCGAAAAAAAATTATGGCACCAAAGTGAGCGCCGTACACAAGTTATGGCACTTATAGTGTCCTTTTGCCCATCGAAATCACTTCAAAAATGTGGTAGATAATATCAAAGTAGCATATCGACCTTTGGAAAGAATTAAGTGGTCTATTCACATAAATACTATGTCTTTGATACATAATCTCCATAAATGAGTATCTTCCAATGAAAGACCCAAATTGAAACTTGTGCTTTCCGAAACGCATTCAGAACATAAGCTCCATTGGAAGCACAAATTGGGTAAAAATCTGAAACTAAAATTTGAAGATTAACACTAGTTTAAAAACAGTGGTGGATAGAGAATTTCAGTAGGAAAATCATTTGACAAGCGAAGAAGGCTCCATTCCAAACACACATTCATCATATTTTGCAACCAAATGTGTAACATCCTGAATTCGACCCACTTTCGTGATCAATGAAATAGATGTGTATTTCTCATTTCATTTTAGTAAGTCTCGCCCGGAACGGATCCTTCTCGGGATACTGACCAATAGGGAATGGCTAACTAGGAAAACGGTACGTGGACCTAAGAACTCGACCGCGAATCGAGTCCGATTCCGAGAAACGACGAGGGAATATTTTGTGCCAATGTGGGCCGATCCAAGGAGGGTGACGGATTTGGTTTAGCCAACGACGTACGATCGGAACGCGGGTGATTCTGCACGACCGAGAGTGCGTGTGGCAAACAATCGCGAACTTATTCCGAACGATCGCAACCCCCCGAAACTAGCGATAATCCTCGCGTTCTCTTGGAAGTCGAGACTGTCACGACTCGAGTAATCCTAAGTCGATACGCGTAACCCCTAAACAGCCGCCCGTTAGTGAGAGACGCTAAAATTGCATTTGAGCGAAATTGATCGTGGAATTGAGTCCGAACTTGAGTGTCGAATTTCATGGACGTACGTGACTATTTTGCAAGGACAACGTCGTATTAGTGTGGCCAATTATTATTATTATTTATTTTATTTTTTTGGTAAGGTAAGTAGTATATAAACTTTTCAACGCGCGACTTACAATGAGAAGCCGAACACAAAAACCTCGTACCAGAAGTGACACAAAGAGGTGTCCTGACGGGTGCAAAGGTGTTGCGACTTTGTCAAAAGGAGAACAAGTGCGCAGATAGCTACGGCCCAAACATTAGGCAACTAAGAGAAAGAGACTAATAACAAGTGAACAACAAGAGATCACTCAAAAATGGAGGACGAGATACCCCAATTGGTCTGGGTCCTTTGATTAATGGGAGAGTCTTGAACCGGCTTGAGAGAAAGCCTTTGTCCCTAACCACCTTGGCAAGGTGATTGCGGAGGGCCGGCAAGTAGAGGGTCCGGTTCCTAAACAGGATATGATTCTGCTCCGTTCAAATAATGTGGCACAAAGCCCCAAAGGCAAAGCGAGCAATGCGGTGATGAAAGTTTGGACCTCCAATAAATCGAGAAGCCCATCGGAGATTTTGTTGCCATGTACCATTTTGCCAAGAAAGGTTGCAATTAGCAGCCCAAAATTGCGCAAGGGTGCGTGTACGAGGACACTCAAAGAAAAGGTGATTTATAGAATCTGGTCTATTGCGGCAATAAGCACATAACACCTTCAGAGATTCTGTGGTAGTTAAGCAGGAAAGCTTGCGTCGGCAGCCTATTGAGAGACATCACCCACATCAGAAAACCGTGTCTTGGAGCAATATTGCTGTCCCAAATGAAGGAACTCCAGTAAACTACTTGTCCTCTATTCCGGATCAAGTCCCAGGCCGAAGAAACCGAAAAGGTTCCCGAAGAATGACCTTGCCAAAGTAGTCGATCACCCGTTTCCGAGTCAAAAAGAGGAAGAGGTTCTGACCAGGAATGGAAAGATTGGAGCACATTAGATTGGTGTCATTCCGAAGAGAAAAAATCCCATACTGAAGCCGTTCTAGAGATGCCCGAACAATAAATATCCCTATCCGAGAAGAGCTTGTAGAGAGGGCCTTTGGTGTGCCAGTAATCAAACCAGAATGAGATGGACCTTCCAGTACCAATCTGCCATTTGAAAAGCTCCTGGAATTCCTGGCGGATATCTAAGATTTTTTTCCAAGCCCAAGAACACACAGTTGGCTTGGAGGCAACCCAAAAATTTTTAGTTTTGAGAAATGTGGAGTGTATCCACTTGCACCATAAGGATTCCTTGTCCGTGAAGAGCACCCAAATATGCTTGAGCATAGCCACACGATTGCAATCTATTAGCCTGCGAATGCCCAAGCCACCTTCTTGTTTGGGGAGATAGACAAAACTCCAAGGGACTTTGGCGCCTCCTACACCCAAATCTGGACCTTTCCATAGAAATTGCCCGAGGATTAATTCAATCCTCGACAAAACTGATCGAGGGAGCGTGAATACCGCAGCCTAGAAAACATGTATGGCATGTAAGATTGACTTGATCGGCTGTAACCGGCCAGCAAATGAGAGGAAGCGCTGGGACCACGAGTGTGCTCTAGCGGTAATAGCATTAACTAGAGAAGTACAATCAGCCTTACTTAATCTGGAGGCGATAATAGGAACCCCGAGATAGCGAAAAGGAAGTGTACCTTCATGGAATTCGAAGGACCGTAGGATTTGGTTACGAACATCCGATGTCCCTCCGGAGAAAAATATTTCGCTTTTGTTGATATTCGGCTTCAGGCCAGCCCACCGAGAGAAAAGATCAAGGCCTTCCTTGAGGAGGGCAGTGGATAGCACATTGGCCTCCGAAAATAAGAGGACATCGTCTGCGAAAAATAGGTGAGTGAGCCTAATGGCCTTGCACCGCCAAAATAAATTGAAACTCGGGAACCGAGTCTTAGCATTGAGGATTCCGGAGAAAACTTCCATCACTAGGGTGAATAGATAGGGAGAAATAGGGTCTCCTTGACGAATGCCCCTACTGCTAGGAAAGAATCCACGGAGGGAACCATTGATGGCAATTGAGAATTTCGGGGATGTCACGCACTCCATAATGAGTCTAATAAACATCAGCGGGAAGCCAAAAGTTTGTAAGACTACCTCCAGGAAACCCCAGTCGACCGTGTCATAAGCCTTTTGAAAATCGACTTTGATGGCACATTTAGGCAAATATGGCTGATGGTGGAAACCCGCAAATAGTTCTTGTGCAAGAAGGATATTGTCGCTTATCCTCCGTTTCTTGACAAACGCATTTTGAGGGGGGCTAATGATAGAAGGCAGAACGGAAGCCAGCCTATTAGCCAGGATCTTAGCGATGCATTTGTACACGGTGTTGCAGCACGCTATGGGCCTGAAATCATTCATTGCCGAGGCATTGGGCACCTTGGGGATTTAAGTGAGAATGGTAGCATTGATCTCCTTAAGCAGAGAGCCGGATTGGAAAAAATCCTTTATAGCCAATGTGACAGAAGGTCCCACGATTTCCCAGGAGGAGATAAAGAAATCAACATTGTAGCCATCCAGACCCGGGGCCTTCCCTTTGGGAAGGGAGAACAAAGTGTTTCGAATCTCAATCTCTGTCACTGATCTGGAAAGAAAATGGGACTGCCTCTCACTGAGAGTTCGATCAACCACAGCCTGAATATCCTGAAGAGTTGGCCAAATAGGTGGCCCATTAGTCGCAAGCAAATTCTCGAAGTGAGTGACTATATGAAGCTGGACTGCAGCCGAATCACTGAGGACAAAACCATTATCATCAGAGACGGATAAAATACAGTTGTGGAGGTGTCTGTGGCCAATTATATTTGGGATCGATATAGTCGAAAAATGGAATTTCGAACCGGGAGTGGAAAATTACCGTTATGCCCTTAAGCCTATGCATGGGTTCCGAATTTTAGAGGTTTTAATTGGTTTTATTTAGTTCTTTAGTGGCCAAAAATA